ATATTTACTATTAACAAATAAATTTGGTCCAAAAAATTAATCAATCAATTGACCGAAGCCGAGCCGAAGCCGAGCTTCGCGAGCGACGACGACGACGGCGCGAGGCTTGCTTTCTTCTTAACTCTTTAAGAGCTACAAGAAGAGCAATTATATATATNGAAGAGCATTAGGCGGCTACTATTGCGGATAATCTTACGTTAATATTTACTATTAACAAATAAATTTGGTCCAAAAAATTAATCAATCAATCGATCNTCGCGAGCGACGACGACGACGGCGCGAGGCTTGCTTTCTTCTTAACTCTTTAAGAGCTACAAGAAGAGCAATTATATATATACCCACCAAAAATCTTTTCCTCTTCCAATATGGGACAATGTCTCATTGTCAAGAGGGGAAAACTTAAAATTTTACTCAAAAATTTTATTTTTTCCTGCATTTCTCATTCACCCTCGTTTTAAGACTATTTCATCATAAATAACAAAAACCTCAACACTTGATTCATCTCGAAGGTAGTCTGGAAATTCAAGTGAAGCAAATTAGACTGTTTTTGTAAAGGATTAATTAAACTACTTATGCTATTCTCTCCTTTATTTGGTGGAAATAAACTTATGATGACAGGTTATCCTAATCTTATGGATTGAAACAAACAAACTTATCATGGGGCTGAAACTTTAGTTCTTGAAAAAAATACCTCATTCCATTGATTAGATATCGATATCAGCCTGAACAGTAACCTGTCAATGTTAGAGAAATTCATGAAAAAGACTGAAAGTTGTGCTATGATGCGTGAAGAAAACAGACTTGAAGAAAAAAATTGTCAAATTTCTAAAGACAATTATCTTCGAGTTGTAGAAAAGCTCTCGAAATTCACTGTAGAAGGTGGGAAAGTATGTGCAGTTGATGCAGGATATATCACAAATCCTAGTTCCAAGATTTTCAAAGTGCCATATTTAGTCCCAATTTGGGTCTTTTCCCACCCAAAAGATGGAATACCCCAAAGAGTTGCTTCTTCCTATAATACTCCTTTATCTTTCATTGTAATAAACAAATTGATTGCATCTTGACCATGGTCCTTTTTTCCTAGTCCAAATATTGTAGCATTCCTTGCAGTTGTATCACGATATGGCAACTGATCAAAAAGTTCTATGGCACTCTCGATATCACTCTCATTGAAAAACCTCATGACTACATTAATCTGTGACACAAAAACACTAAACGGGTTTTCCTATAGAAGTGTGTAAGCTTCTTTCACTATTCCATTCGTTATAAATCCCTGTTTTCTGCGGCATCTCACTAGAAAGCCTCATAGCTTCGAGTATTTCCCCATTATCCACCAATCCATTTATCATTTCATTCCAAGAGTCACAATAATCAACCCCCTCATCATAATAATCCAAGACGAGAATTCCAGGTCCCTCATATGTCTGAATAGCTCTTTAGCCAATTCTAAGCTTTGTGAACTCTACCAAACCAACAATAATAAGATTCCAAGAAACATCTTTTATAGGCATACCCGCAAATACCTCAAGTGCTTCATCCAAAAACCTGTTAGTGGCATTACCTGTCGGGATCTCGATGTCACGACATCTCGATGCTCCATAGATTCAAAATTCCCTTTAGCACTTTCAACATTCCGTGCCTGCATCAACCCTGAAATCATAGTGTTATACAAAAAAAAATCACGGGGAGGCATTTCATTGTACTAACACACAGCTTTTTCAACATTTCCATGAGACTGTGTTTCTCTCAGGCATTTCATCAAACACCTTTTGAGCTTCTTCAGCAGGGCTATTTCACATGTAACTTCGCAATTTGAGTTTATGGGTTTCAAGTTGGGTGGTGTTATTGTACATTGCGTTCTCAATGTAGCTTAACAAAATGAATATGCGTTTGTTTGATAAAATGAATGCAATGAAAAATTAATTTATCAGCTGAAGGAGTTCAAAGAGGAAGATTAGATAAGCAGAAAACTGAACCGTTTCTGTTAGTTGAACCGCCCGGTTCTCCAAAAGACAAACTAATTAATGGTCAAGTGTTACAATAAATATGAGTTTGTAATAAAAATAACATCCAAACCGAAATGAATATACCACTAACTCTTTTAATAAATGCAACATAATAGACTTTAGTCTAATTCGTGATCTCTCTTTACAATTTAATCCTCTTGTATTCATTATTATAACCACCAAAGTCCAAAACGGCCTCTTTAATATTTCTCTTAGCATTTTTTGTTTTTGCTCCTTTTTCCATGGCATAGCAAAGAAAAGGCAAATTTTACATAAACAAGGCAAATTATACAACAAAAAAAAAACAAGGAAGAGTTATAAATTAGATAAATACTAAAAGAATAAAGGACTTCGATGTAACTTTGTTTTTGCAGACAATTAGACACTAGCAATCTTTTTTAATATACCGTATTATTATTATTATTATTATTATTATTATTATTATTATTATTATTATTATTATTATTGTTAATGTTGTTGTTGTCGTCGTCGTCGTCTCGTGAATATAAAGAAACGGAAAAAAAACTATGAAAGTGAATTTTTAAGCTTATACATAAATTTTTCAATTTTAAGTTAGTTAATATGAGTGTAACTATATTTAGTACTCGTGTGACAATTGTAGAATGCAACAGCATATCTAAAAAAAAATATTAACAGAATGATACTTTTATGATTTCGAGAGTCATACTTCTTACCTTTAATTACGAATTCATATATGAATTTTTAAATTTTTAAAAAATAAAATCTATATATTTGAAATCTATAAAAAAAAAGTATTACAAGTCATAATAATTAATGATATTTTTAAAGCATATAAAAAAAATTATGGCAAAAAAATTTCGAAATTCGAAAAATATTATATATTTTTTTGGACTAAGGGAAAGTAATTGGGTACATAAACACTGTACGTGCAGCTCCTAGACATGACAGAGCTGCTATAATTTGACTGCATCTCTAATTATATTTATTGTTCAATTTTTTCCCTTTTCTCTTTAGAAGCTTTTAAACATGGAAAAGAAATTGTGGCTAAGAAAACACCAACGTTACAAAAAAGACCAATAAAATAGAGCTTCAATTTTCAACATGACAAGAAAAGCAAAAATCTAAAAACCTTATCAGTTATATCCACCTCATGTATATTTCTCCTATCTCTTTGGATTTCATTTCCACACATCAGCACTCAAAACACACTGTAATAACCCCATACTTCTCTACACTTTTGTAAAATCTCCGATCAAATCACCACCGCATTTCAACCAAGATTCCGGCGGCGAAACATGGCGGCCGCAGCTGCCACAGCAGTAGCTTCTTCATTCTCCAGTACTCTTCATTCTATACGTTCTAAAACATGGCCTAATTATAACTCTGATCATCTCCTCAAAGTTCCATCCACTAGAACACCAAATATTGCATTAATTTCATCAGCAGCAACAGCATCAGTTCATTTATTTGGAAGTGAAGTGACATCAGTTGCTAAGAAGTGGAGGGTGGTGCCGAGGTTGGCGGCTGCGGTGGCGCAAGAGGAGGCCGAGGCGGTGACGGTGGAGGAGGAAGAGGCCGAGGCGGTGGCGGTTGAAGAGGAAGTGGTGGTGGAGGAAAAAGGAGGAGAGGGTTCTGAAGAGAGTAGTAGTGAAGGTGAAGGTGTAAATACTAAGCTTTATTTTGGGAATTTGCCGTATCTTTGTGATAGTGCACAACTTGCTGGGATTGTTCAAGATTATGCTACTCCTGAGCTTGTTGAGGTATACACTTTCACTTTTATGTTCAATTTTCAGCTTGTGATTGGTTAATAGATTAATGCCTTAATCTACAAGATATGGCGTGTGTGTTCAAACAAAGTCTTGTGTTAACAATTTGATTAGCAAAAAGGTACATATATGTGTGAACCCGAAAATTTTGAAGGTCAAAATAATTAAATTTGTATTTTAGGGCACTAATAACCGATTGGATTGACTTTTTCAAATAAGAACAGTAAGAGAACAAACAAATGAGCAAAATACTAAAGAAATTGTATAAGAGGAAAGAGTATTCTTATTGATGGAAATAGCTCCTCTATTATATCACTTGGATCTTGAATTGCCAGAAATAATATGCTAAGATTACGAGAATAGTAAAGTGATTTCTCATACGAGATACAATGTAGGGAATATGGGTTTAAATAGTAATCCTATTCGTAACTGATTGTCTCGTTCAATACCTGCCCGTTACAATCATTTATTACATTTATTGTACGTTACATAATTGATTCGTAACTGATAGCATAATAATGTCAAATCCTGTGTAATCCGGAATTTAGTTGATTCTCTTCTCATTCGGGATTATGAGTGATTCTTCTACCTGATTTGGTGGCATTCTGTTATGATCAGTTCCGAGACTATTAGTTAGTAGTTACAATACCAACATATTTTAGTTTCAAGTGTTCTTTACACACTGTCCACGCCATTCTCCACTTCCTTCGCAACTTGATGGACCCGTGTTGAAGCTTAACTGGTTCATGTGGCGAATCTATTTTTTTACCAATACAAGATGAAATATCTTTAATTTTGTAAGACCTTTTGGAGAAACTGGGGTGAATTTAGGTTAAACTAGGCAATATCACAACATGATAAAAGTATTTTGGATTGGCTTAATCCAACACAAATTGAAACTCGAATTTCAAAATAAGGAGTATAACATTGTATTTAGAAAATGTACTTTCCAATTTTACATGAGTTAGTTAAGGGTGAGACAGAGTAATCAGAACAAGAAGATCACTACTGTGCAGAAAAGTTTGAAGCTTGGTTTGAACTTAACCTAAAGTGGAATACATTTGTAGTCAAATGTTGAGAAACATGTATGCTGCTATTTGAATGTCTCTTTAGTGCTATGAAAAACTTCCTCCTAAACAAAACCAAAATGTCACTCCTATCCTAAATGGATTTCCTTGCTAATTTATTCAATTTGTTCAGGTTCTTTATGATAGGGAAACAGGTAAAAGCAGAGGATTTGCATTTGTGACAATGAGTTCTCTTGAAGATTGCAAAACAGTAATCGAAAATCTAGACGGAAGAGTAAGAAATTAATTCAATTTCCTTTCGCGAATCGATGTTTGTTTAACAAAAATATTTCTGTCATTGAGCTGATTTGAGGCTATAAATTGAAGCAAGATTTACTGATTTCAGGAGTATGGTGGAAGAACCTTAAGGGTGAATTTCTCAGACAAGCCTAAACCAAAAGAACCACTTTACCCAGAAACTGAACACAAACTCTTTGTTGGTAATTTGGCCTGGTCAGTCACATCTGAAAGTTTGGTACAAGCATTTCAAGAATATGGAACTGTTGTTGGAGCTAGGGTACTATATGATGGTGAGACTGGGAGATCTCGTGGCTATGGTTTTGTGAGCTATGAGAATAGAGAACAATTGGAGAATGCCCTTCAAAATCTTAATGGAGTGGTATGCATTTCTTGAACTCACTTTTTGAAGCATTTTATTGGTTTAGATCACTTCTTGAGAAAGGATTAAGTTATATACACTATTCGTGTAAAGATTTTTTTATACTAGTAGTAAGTGGAATTTAATATATTATAACAAGTTGGTTACCGCTATTATTAGGGGAGTTTTGGCGTAACTGGTAATGTTGTTGACATGTGACCAGGAGGTCACGGGCTCACGCCGTGGAAACAGCCTTTTGTAAAAATGCAGGGTAAGACTGCGTACAATATACCCTTGCTGTCCGGGCCTTCTCCGAACCCAGCACATGTCGGATTTTATCCCCCAACTAGAAGATCGCTTCAGGGTCATACTTTGGACTGGCTTTTTCAAAAGAAACTATTTGAAAGCCTGTATGATTTGCTGCTTCCAAGTAGGGGCAAATCCAACAGTTATACCTGGATTTTCAGTATAAAATTCACCAAAATTGCTTTAAAAATTAAGCTATGAACTCATAATTCAAACAAGATGATGGGTTCAATAGTTGAAACCAAAATCTTGAACCCGTAGAATTAAAATCATGGATCCGCTTTTGCTTCGAAACCTGGTTGTCATTTCTTGAGAAAATAAATGAACTATTATTTATGCCCCTTTTGTGTCTGCATTTCAGGAACTGGATGGAAGGGCAATGCGCATTAGCTTAGCACAAGGGAAGAAACAATAAGATGGACAAGATTCTTGTATATTAGTTGTAAAAGTTGAAAATTTACCATCAATAGAAGAACAATGTTTTATTCATGGATTAAGATGGCTAAAGGCTTTTAACTAGGACAAAGGGAGATGTACCATTTGAATTACATCTTCCATAGGTTGAGCTTTCTATCTTTGTTTCTTTACTGCCTTTCATAATTTAGAGATATCATTGTTCCTTTCATATTTTAGAGGAGCTATTAATGTGACTCAAACTAATTGGCATCTTATTAGCACAAGCAAATGCACTAAATAATGCTTGGGATTAGTTTCTTTTCTTGTATAAATACCGACGTACATAATTATTCCACAAAAGTTGGGAAAATAAACACACCAAAAACATGTGTTCGACTAAACATGCTTTATTTTCTATTTTTTCTTTATTAATTAACTATGATTCTCAAATTGAGGTGGCAGATTAATGAGAGTTGCTATGGTGTCATCATCGCATTTTAACAACTAAAATGCTTAAATCCTTGCACTGTACTTTTGGAAAAGTAATGTGGACACATTGAAAAGGATAAGAGATACGCAATTTGATTGCATCTTGGTTGTAACAATCAAATGATCAATGATGCGAAAGAAATTTGCGATTGTCCTTCAAAAAGATAGACAGTTAAATAGAACATAATAAACGATGGACGTATTAATTTGACTTTAAACTTAATCTAAATAATAAACTCTGAGATTTTGATACTCGTAAGAATTAATTTTAGTAATTCTTCCGCATTAAAAGTAGTATTCAACGTTTATTCATCATCTTATTATTTAAGTGATATGTTTATCTAAATACGCAAGTTTAGATTTTATCCTATAACAATTTAGAATTGATTCACACAATTAGATTCACTTCAAATTAACAATTAAGTAACTACACTAACAAAACATTATTAGTTTGCTAAAGCTTATTAGATTATATCAAACTTACATATATCCTAAATAATGAATAAATCTTAGTTCCTATTGAAGATTTATATATATCTATAACATAAAATTGGGCTAGAGGAACAAAAAGTCTGTGCTATACTTTTGTCATTTATATCGTAGATTCTTCAAGCATCGCATTTAAAGAATTTTCAAAATATACTTAGAGATTTGTATGTCGATAAACGAAAATAAAAAACATTTAATATGAATGATGCTCGAATAATTAAGTATGAAGCAAATCCAAATGAAACAAAATGAAATCCTCCAATACCGTTATTCATTAGATAATGGACGCTTTATACTCTAATTTTTTCGTAATTAAACTTTTTGTACTCCTTGTTAATAATGTATATATCCGATATGGTTCAAGAGAACTAAGATCGCTTCCTACCTTGCTTCCTCTCTCCCCTGCCCCGCTCGCGTCGTGCCATGTTATTTATTTTCAAAAAATAAATTCTATTTTATCTCGTATCACTTCATTTAAGTGCTTCCTTGCTTTATCCTGCAAAGATAGACATCGATAGATATTGTCTGATCCTACTCATACCTTACCACGTTTTGCCTTCGTCTCACCCCCATTGCCCACATAAGTTAAATGCTTCCCCGTTCCACCCCGCTAAGAGCGATACATTACTAATAGATATCGATAGTTGCCCAATCTCACTCAAGCCTTATCCCGTTTTGCCTTCTTCTCGCCCCATTGCCACTTCATTTAAGTACTTTCTTATTCCACCCCGCTAAGAACAATACATTACTAATAGATATCAATAGTTATTCGATCTTACTCATACCTTACCTCGTTTTGTCTTTGTCTCGCTCCATTGCCCACTTTACTCAAGTGCTTCCTTGTTCCACCCCGCTACGAGCAATAAATTATTAATAAATATCGATAGTTGTCCGATCTTATTCATAGCTTACCTTGTTTTGCCTTCGTCTCACTCCATTATCTATTCATTTACGTGTTTCCTTATTTCACCTCGTTAAGAACAATACATTACTACTAATAAATATCATAGTTGTCCGAACTTACTCACACCTTACTCCGTTTTACTCCTCGCCCCATTGCCATCTCTACCAACTAGGCAACTAGGACGAACTTCACACTATTAGATAATCCTAAGCAAAACAAATACTAAAAAATAAATAAAAAGAAGCCCTATCAATGAGGTCTAAATCAACGGTTGAAAACGTGCGGACATTTACCCAACCAATAAAAAACCAGCACCAAAACCGTGCAAAACACAGCTGTTTATTAAGATGCGCATGTTTTCTCACCAACCTACAAAATCCTCTTTATTCTAACGCGTAAGCAGCTCTTTCTCTCTCTAAGCATTTTAGACCAGTGGTCACGAGCCCTCACTTCTTCACTCCATTTTTTTCTCTCTCTAGAAAGTGATTAGCTGTGACTGACGAACTCAGTGCCTATTGCTGCTGTTAGTGGAAAGTAACGGAATATATATATATATATATACACACACACACACTCTTCTTCTGCTGCTGCTATTTTGCTTGCGGCAATGTGAATGTTGAATGTGTGAAATCTAGGGTTTTTGGATTGTGGATTTTAGATCTTTTGCAGATCTAGGGTTTTGGATTCCCATTTCATTGGATTTGGTTAGTTCGTTTCTGCTGCCGCCGTTGCCCCCGCGTTTTACTCAATGGCGACGCCTTTTCACTTGCCAGTCACTGCTGCTCAGGTCCCTCTTTTCACTTGCCAGTCACTTGACTGATGAAAAACTATTTAAGTTTTTACCGTTTCTTCCCTGTCTGTGTAATTCATTCGTAGAGCAGTTGAATAGAGTGTCAAGGCATTCCTTTCGTTATAACCGTTGCCTCCGTGTGTGTTTATTCATTTGTAAAGCAGTTGAGTAGAGCGGAGGAACGTTTGTTTGTTTGTTTGTTTGTTTGTTTGTGTGTAGCTTTAGCTTTTGCTGTTTGGATTTTTGATATATGTGGTTATATATAGATGGATTTAACTTGTATGCAGCTCGTTAAAAGGATAAGGATAATAATCCCGAGATACATTGTTGGATTATGTAATTTCATGTTCGGTTGAATTATTATTTCCGTTACAAGTAATCCCAATGAATTTTAATTTCCGTTACAAGTAAATCCGGGATTAGCTATATCACAATTTTGGTATTATTTTTATACCATATTTAATGTGGCATAACAATCTCGAGATAAATTAAATCTTTTCTGTTATTAATGAAACCGAAAGAAAGAAAAAAACGAGAGCTTTTTGTATAGATCGAGACTTGTAGCTTGATTCCTTACTCATTCCATACTGGGAAGAATTGCAGGAAACCGTTTGATAACACTTTTTCCTATTTCTTTCTCAATGATATCTGACGAGCTAATCACGGGATAAAACATCAAATGACAAAAGTGCCCTTCTTTAAAGTTAAAATTGGAAATTAAAGTCTATCCAAGTTTATCTATTGTGACCAAATACACGTTTTATGTTATACCCCGTATATCCCATTTTTAATCCAATAAGTCAAACATATACCAAAAAAGTATATCCACTAAATAATCCCATTATTGTTTAATCCGTACATTATAATCCCCTCAGTATAATCCCGGTATAACCTTTTTCCAAACAATACGACTCCTGACGTTGTAGATTAATTTACACATTCATTTTAGTTTTATCTGCTGTTAAACATGAGGTGCCCTGTTTTGCTAGTTATCAATCCACGTTGAATTGGCTTTTAAGTGACTTGACAGTGTAAAAGTTTTTTACAATGTCAATGTATGAAGTTAAATTCTATATGGATATGCGTATCTACATCCACTTTTAAGAGATATAGAAACTACTAGAGGTAAATATTTTTGTTTTGTTTATTTTCTCTTTAAATGCACCTGTATATAGTTGGAATACTATAGTGATTGAATGTCCTAAAAAGGGACAAATTTTCTGAAAAGAGCTGCAATCTCTAATATTCAATGCGAACATTTGAGAATATAATGCAATGGAAACAAACACGATATATAGGCAATACCAACTAGATAAGGATAAATTGTCCCAAAAAAGAAAAACTTGTTTCGGAGTAACCAATTAAGGGTTAGTTGTTTTTGTTGCACTTACATTAGATTAGGTAAGGATGTGTGAGATTTAGAGAACCTTTAGCTGTATAGAGCCCTACTTTGTCTTAGAAGGTAAATTACTTATCAGTGCTCGAATGAAATGAGCCTAAATAGAGCACAATATATGGTGGACTCATATTGTTGATCCCAACTAGTTTGGGATTGAAGGATTCTGATTGATTTATTGTTTTTAATGGCTGGGATTTGAATTTCATTTGTTTGGGGTTTCTGTAATGTTTCAGGTCGGGACGTACTTCGTGGGCCAGTATTATCAGATGTTACAGACCCAACCCGATTTTGTTCACCAGTTTTACAGTGATGCTAGTACCGTGCTTCGAATTGATTCCAGCACCAGGGAGACTGCTTCAGGGATGCTGGTATTTTATCTAAAGTGCCTTACTTCTTTGTACTTGCTTATGAGTAAAACCTTCTTTCTAGTTGCTTCTCAATTAAGTGTTTTTGGTTGTTTGCCTTGGAATTTGTTTAATTTATGCCAGAGTTTGGCTGATCCAAGTTTATTCAATTTACACTGGTGAAAACCAAGTTGAAATCTCTTATTCTTGTGCTTTTACAGTTTGTTTGGCTTCAAATAGATAAACAGCAGAAGCCAAAACATTAAACTAAAGTACTCTCCAAGTTGTCCATCCATTGAGTTGGACATTAAATACACATAAATGACTTAGATGATTAATATTCTTGATTTTGTTGCTCTAGATGTGTTGTACAGGGCTGACTTTAACATTGGACCAGCACCCTTTTGATTTTGTTTAGCTGTTTCAGTTGTCATGTGCTAATTAAAGCTTATTACTAATGTATGACTAATTATTGTTTAGAGTAATTCACTCATTATTAGTACTGTATGGGATATAATTGGGCTAACCAATGATTGATTGATCTTGCTCGATACATGTTCTTAACTGGAGCATGGTTCTGTGGTCATCTCTATGATGTCCTTAAGTTCCAGATTAGCTTTTTCTTCCATGAAGTTAACCCCTGTTCTAAAACAAAGCTCTAATATGGAAAACTATCTGCTGAGTGCAGCTTTCACTCTTCCATGTTCTAGGTGTTTAGGTTAAAGTCAGTCTTTCTGAAACACAAATATAGAAGCTATGTCCATCAAGTTCTCTGTTTCCCCAGTGAGCTGCATCAGTGGTTTTTCTCTGTCCTCTAGAAGTTGAAAGCTGAAAGAAGTGGCATTGTGTATATTGCTCAATCCCCCACCACTCCCCTTTTCTGTCAAGTGAGTCCCATAATGTACACTTCTATCAAAGGAACTCCATTTCGCTGGTGTCTTGAGTTCCTTCTTAGTATCATAACTACCAGTGAGTTACTTCATAAAAAGAATCATAAGTACCAGTGAGTTGATTCTATTACTAATAAAAGTAAAAGATTTTCAAATAGACAAAAGAGAAAAGCTATATCTTTGAACGCCTGTTCAAAAAGAAAAGCTTTATCGTTGAACAACTTCTATTCCAGTATAATAAAACTTCAGGTCATTTTCAACTAGCTAATAAAATGGTTCATGATCTGTCATGTGCCTTTGGCCCCAATATGATTTATTCTGCTCTTTTTCATTTTTCTTTCTGTGATTTTGTGCAGCAAATCCACACCCTCGTCATGTCGCTCCATTATACTGGGATAGAGATTAAAACACTGCATTCCTTGGAATCATGGAATGGTGGTGTCCTAGTGATGGTTTCAGGTTCTGTCCACGTGAAAGGTATCAACAGGAGTAGGAAGTTCGTACAAACATTTTTCCTTGCACCCCAGGAAAAGGGATACTTTGTCCTCAATGATATCTTTCACTATGTTGATGAGGAACAAGTTCTTCAGCATCCGGTGCCCTATCTAGGGCAGACTAGCCTCGATTCCAAGCTGAATGTCTCCACTACAATTCAAGAGCAAGGTATGAGTTCAATCTTCAAGCTTTTCATCCTAAGATATGTCTGATGGGTAGATCCTCTCACTTAGTGGTGCTTCTATTACTNGAGAGCGAGAGTGTTGGGGTGTGTAAGTAGGAGCAGAACCATGCGGCAAGGGGGAGCATGGTAAATGATTCACCCTATGTAAGTTGTCGTTAGGGAAGGATACTTCTTTTGATGAAGTAGGGGAGAATACTTCTAGTTGCTCCGAAAGCCAAAGCTCACTAATTTCCCAATTGTCATATTTTTCTTCCTGGTGAGAAGTTTTAGTGATATGCTATTAATTGGTGTTGTTTCTTTATGTAACCCACACTCATAGGTGATTAACTTGAAGGAAAAGTTGAAGAAAAATACTCCTCGTTTTTCAACAGCGATAACTTGGCAAAAAGATTACACTCTGAAACATCTCAAAAGGTTTTTGTACTTCTTTGAAGTAGTTTGTCTAGAAAATATTAAATAGAAAGACAAAAAGATGTGTGGAGATGGTCCTAATCCTAGCGAATAATGATGACAGGAAAGCACCGAACTGGAGCTTTCCAGATAGGCTTCCCTTTGAAGCACCTTCAAGAAGTACAACAACAACAACAACCCAATATAATCCCACTAGTGGGGTCTGGGGAGGGTAGTGTGTACGCAGACCTTACCCCTACCTGGGGTAGAGAGGCTGTTTCCGATAGACCCTCGGCTCCTTCCCTCCAAGAGCTACCCACCTTGCTCCTGGGGTGACTCGAACTCACAACCTCTTGATTGAAAGTGGAGGGTGCTTACCACTAGAGCAACCCACTCTTGTCAAGCACCTTCAAGAAGTGTTCCAATAAATAGATGCTTAAAGCTAAAGCTCTAGTTGCTTGTACAGGTTGTAATTATGCACTAATCACTAAACATTTGCGTCCTACCGAACAGGAAAGGTATCACATCAGCATGTTGAGCGTTGTTTATAGTTTGTCTATGTCATAATCTCACATTCTATGCTGAGGAAATATCCTGTCCGCTTTTTGTTAGGTTCTTAAATGTCGATGCAACTGAAAAAAGACTTGGAAGTCTGTTTCTCTGCAATTTTGTGCACTAATGCTGCAGTACTATAATATAACTTGTGAAAAAGAAAATGTCCATATTTAAAAGATTAATGGTGGATTCTGCAGTACCCAACTACATGCTTGGTGGAGAAATCCAGGCAAGGGAGTTTGCTGCTCCTCCTAAAATTCAAGATAATGGGCCTGTCAATAACTACAGTTTTCCGGACGAACGGCTACAACATGTCCCTGAAGCCGAGAAGATCCTTGAAGATAATTTTGCAGCACAGTCAAACGGCTCATTACAAAGTACAATTAATGCAGTACAAGAACATTTATCCAGTCCTATTGAGGAACCAGTTGCAGAGCCCCAAAAGCACACTTATGCTTCTATTGTATGCCATTACCTTTACCTTCTTCTGACAGTTACATTCTCTTATTGTCTTGAGTATGCTTTTGCTATGAACTAATTTTATTTGCCTGATTCTAAATTGGAAGTTACAGGTTACTAAAGGGCAGTCTGCACAAGGAGGACCAGCCCAGTTTTCTTTCAACAAACCTACACCCCCTCCTTCAGAGTGGCAACATGTGCCAGAGCCTCCTGCTCTGTCATCGGTTCCATTGACTAATGCTATTGAGAGGTCTATAACAGAGGCAACAGAAGAGGCTTCAGCTGTGGAAGATGAAGGTTAGTTTCTCGTACCTTGGTACAATGTGCTCATCCTATCTTCTCAGGAATGTGTATTCTTTTCTTAAGGGATCTCATTTGAGTGATATGCTTACATGATTTTCCTTTTCGAACTTTCCGCAGTTGAAGTCAAGTCTGTATATGTCAAAAATGTGCCTACAACGATGGCAGCTTATGAAATCGAGGAGGAATTCAAAAAGTTTGGTAAACTAAAACCTGATGCTGTTGCCATTAGAACGCGAAAGGTTTGTTCTATCATCTTTCTTTTGTCTACTCCTGAATCTAGGTTAGGTCAATATAAAGCTCATCTGGAGTTTGATGTGATGCAGGACATTGATGTGTGCTATGCATTTGTCGAATTTGAAGATGTAACTGGTGTTCAGAATGCAATTGAGGTTTGAACTAACATTTCAAAATTTGATCTAATATTTAATTATACCTTTTGTGTATTAGGTTTCAATAGACAAGAGTGGGTTGCTCTAGTGGTAAGTACCCTCCACTTCCAACCAAGAGGTTGTGAGTTCGAGTCACCCCAAGAGTAAGGTGAGGAGTTCTTGGAGGGAGGGAGCCGAGGGTCTATCGGAAACAGCCTCTCTACCCCAGGGTAGGGGTAAGGTCTGCGTACACACTACCCTCCCCAGACCCCACTAGTGGAATTATACTGGGTTGTTGTTGTGTTTAGGTTTCAATACTCTAGCCATAAGTTCTTCATTTCTGCCTGGTGCTTCTAGATGTGTTCCTCGCCAGTTATGTTGCTATTATTACTCCCTCCGTCTTGATTTTAATGATGCGATTTGAATACCACGATAATTAGGAAATAAAAGTACAAATATTACCAATGGGCAGAACCGGGATAAGCATGACTTTGTTCGGTAATTTCCATTGCTAATTGAGCATCGTGATTGCCTTCTGCCGTGCTAAAGTAAAGTCAGGTTACAAGGGGAATATGTAAAAACCTGCAGTAGTTTAACCCAAAGTTTATTGGGATTAACTTTAACAATCCCCCTTCCCCCCCTCAAAACCAAAAGAAATAAAAACTAAACTATTACCTGATTACCTCGCATTTGGACTAGCTTGTGATAAGTATTTAGAATGCTTAGACTTGCTAAAATTATTCTTAGTTAAACTCTTCATCTTCCAAAGAGTACGAAAGTCAAACAAGACACTGCTAGGAAGGCTGTGATGGATTGACATCCTATCTTTTCTTAATTTGAATAATTGAAAATGGTGCTATTTTGTGAATGGGTCAAATGAATTGGCACAAGATGGAAGTAATCCAAGTATAATGGTGTGGAAGTTGTGTATTACTCCCTCCGTTTCTTATTATCAGTCGTGGTTACTAAAAATAGTTGTCTCAAATTATTTGTCACTTTAGAAGTTCAAGACAAAATTGATTATCCTTTTCCTTTTTTACCCTTAGTAATAATTATCCTTGAAGATTAAATACCAAGACATGATTACCCTTAGTACTTTTTACCCTTAGTAATAATTATCCTTGAAGATTGCAAACACCTCAATTATGATTAACTTTGTTCAAATATCAATGATGAAAGATTAAATACTAAGACATGAATAACGGTAAAATAGTCAAAATCTCATCGTAATTAATTTTTCTTAAGGGCGTGTACAAGAGAATCATGACATATAATATGAGACAGAGAGAGTATCTTGTATCTCTTATTTTTCTCCCTTTCATTTCATTGTAATTAATACTGTCAACTAAGACTAATTACTGCATTTACATTCAGAATAGGTATTGACAATTAAGTAAACTTTGTTGCAGGCATCTACTGTTCAGATTGGTGGACACCAGTTGTACATTGAAGGGAGGAGACCAAACAGAAACAACTTAATTCGAGGAAGTATGTGTTTTCTTCTCAATTGTAGGCCAATGAATAAGCTATTACATTTTCTCATTCATGAAATCCAGCATATCTTTAAGCTAAATTGTTTCTCGTTTTCTTTCTAAGATTCTCTGAGCACAATATTTTTCTACCAGGTGATCACTAAGCACAATTTTAGCAATTCAAGAAGGTGCTTTTGGCACTCTTCTATAGTCCACAAATGTTTACCCTATCAAATTAAATACTCATCTTTCAGCCTATTTGGAGGGTAAGCAGGACAGCTTTTCTACTTTTGTTTTGGCGGTGTCATGGCAGTGACTTTAGTTCCCTACTTAGTGGAAGATAAGGGACGTAAAAGAACGTGGATCAACCAAACCATCCTCTTAAATTACCCTTCCTTTCTTGGAGTAAAATTTTAACTCTGGAGCTAGCTGTGTCTCCATGTGAAAATTCAGTATAAAATGAACAATGAACATCACTACTTCCTGGGAGTACTTTCAGTAACCCGATCTCGAAATGACAGTGGTATCACGAATGATGAAAAACAGGGAGTAGAGAAGAATAATATGCTCAGTGGGATTATAAACGCACTAGTTCACTTGCATTCTCGTCAGGCTGCAATTGTAAATATTTGGCTCCCACTTCTTCACCATGGTATTGGTCTCAAAACAATTCATATGCTGGTATCAACAGAACTTACTTAGGACCTCGTTGATTTCTAGTAAATAGTTAGTGTTTGTTATCAGTTGAAGTAGGCCCTTTTTTAATACTCACAAGTAAATAGGGCCTATATTAGATTCTTATGTGCTTGTAAGAGCCGAAATTGGACTGCTTAGGGAATCACTAAGCCTGGTCCTTCTGGTGGCTTCCTACTTCATTTCTTTCGTTTCATAAGTTTCTTTACTAAAATCTGATGTCATGAAAATTTATTTTGCTCTGCTTCCACAAATGTTGAGATTCTTTTTGGTTTGTCTTTAAAATGGGGACCCAGGAGGAAGGGGTAGAGGCAGAGTTAGCTACTCCATGGACGGGAGGGGACGCTATGGCAGCCGTGGGTTTGGCAGAGCTGGTCAAGATGGAGGTGACCGTGACTACGGAAGATCAAGAGGAAATGGTTACTATAGACAAGCTCCTCGGCAAGAAAGAGCTTACACTGGCAATCAGCAAAGCTTGAGAAATGAGCAGTACTCATGGGAATAAGCAAGTTGAATTTTTGAAGGACAATACCTTCCTTCCATACAAGCCATTTTGCGATCTGCTTATTCATCTTCTAAGTTATCCAAAAAAAATTAGTATACTTTGAGAAGCATCAAAATTTAGATTTGTTGGAAGGAATCATCCCAAATACATATATTTTTTGGCAGAAATAGCAAGTGTTTTTTTAACTTACATGAACTGACTTACCGAAAAGGAGTTTCAATGCAGTTTTGGCCTGCTACTGGATGTTTTGCACAAGTTGTCCATTAGATGTTTTCCTTTACTCCTCTCACCAGCATGAATATCTCCGGCCTAATGCAAACTATAAATCCTAAACAGGGTTAACAGCCCCCTCCTTATTTGTGTGTTATTTAGTATTTTGGCTTCTTGATGCATTGCTACAGGTTTTAAATGGTATTGGGATCAGCACTTGTTCAAAGATTTGTCATTTGTCATTTGTCAACAGTTGTTTTGGCCTTGAGAAGCATTGTGAGTTATTGGATAAATCATGCCTAGCTATGTTATAGAGAAAAATGAGATATTGACGATGTGAATTTTCATCCGGGTTGTGTAAGTATGGCTTGGAGTCTATCCTAGACAGGGCCAACTTAGCTCGTCAAAAATGAAAGAGAAGAAAAAAGGAAAACCAAGTTAAATAATCTAGTGAGGATTTATACTTCATCGACCGTTAGATCACGCCCTCGCCCTTGACTAATACTTGAGAGGTAAAACTTAACTTCTTGTATGCTATGAACTATGAAGGTCGTATGGCTGTAAACTAAAATGGAAGGGTAAGGTGATGGAAACGCAATAACATGATTTCATATCAGAAATTCTGGTCGTTGCAACACTAGAGTGCCTGATATTAGTGTGTTCACGTATTTATTGCTCACTATACCACATTTACCATTTAAAAATTGTTTCAACCTTAAATGCATCATCTCCACAACAAGAGGAAGATACAAGTCTTTAGATTTGATGAAAAACTATTATTATGGTTAAAATTGGCCAAGAAGAGAAATCGGAAGCTGATTGTGAATCCATTGTCTTAAGGATTTAGGCATTTGCAGCCACAACTCCTTGAAGAAGTGGTGCTCCATTGTGATTGCCTAATGTTTCATCTTCGTCTTCATCTTCCTCTGTTTCCCAGAGAAATCTAGCATATGCAGCAAGCGCATCGCTGAAAAGCAAAAAACAAGTAGTTCAGGTACAAGTAGCAACGACATGTTTTCTTATGTAAAATGCAAAGTGCAAACCATTTAACGTCATACCAAAGATTGCCAAAAATCTTCATATTTTTCCATGAATATATTTCGCATAATACCATCGAACTTATATTTTTAAAGTAGTTTTAAAGGATGGGGGCCTCAATTCAACATTACCTATTTTCTGGAGAAGCTTCAACTGCCCTCTTAAAGTAGGATGAGGCTTTAGATTTGTCACGATGAAGTTGCCATATCAACATGGCATAATGTGAAATAGTTTCTCCATCAGTAGGATCCGCTACTATTGCACGCGAGTAATATTCTTCAGCACTTAGTAGGTCTCCCTTGGTCTGCTGGTCCAACAACAAACATGAGAAAGGTAAAAACCCATCCAATAAATTCATTTCAAAGTAGCAACAATAACAGGAGACGGGATTTTCCTTCCAATATCAAAATCTGGTAAGTACACCCTAAACTGTTGTAGCATTTGTAAAGATCTTGAGTGACAGGAATGACATAATTGATAATACACAAACAAAATTTTCATATTAAAGCAGGTGGTTGTGTTTCTCCATATTCCAATTGTATAGAGTTATGGTAAAACGGTGGTTATTTTGTACAATTTGGAGAAATAGTTGAAATCTTAAAAAGCATGTCTCGGGGGAGCTTGTTCCGGAAAATAAAGTATCTACCATCTGAGACACTCTTAAGGAGACTGACTATGTCGATGGATGCAGCTTTGGATTCAAGTGGGCACTGCTTAATTACGTGATAATACAGAATATTTGAGGCAGAAAACAAGAAACATTCACCTGACAAAGAAACTGCGCATAGTTTCTTAAAAGCACAGGGTTATGAGGATTTTCTTTGATCATTCTCCTGTAATACTCCTCAGCATTTCCGTCCATATCAGATACAGCTGCAGTATAATCAACGGGGGAGTCACCACCAACTCTATTATCCCCAATTCCAAGTCCTGCTGCAAGATGTAAGGGAGAGCTAACAGGTCTGTTATCTTCTTCGTAATCCAGGTCTCGTGATGCAGTAGCTTCCTCAGTCACCTCAATCTGGGACATCCAGAAGAAACATTCAGTCAAAAAGAGTTTACACTTATATACTTGTCGCCAAGCAGAAAGGAAGGCAAAAAAACCTTAGTCTTATCACTCTGCATGTTCATTTCGTCCTCACTTTCGTCATCATTGATATCCCAAAGAAAACTGGCATATGCTGCAAGAACATCGCTGGAAACAATAATAGATTTCAAACAAGGGATATTTACTCATTCTCTCATTAGACGAAAGGTGTAAGTCAATTATAACCTGTTTTCAGGAGCAGCATGAACTGCACGTTCAAAGCAATCCGATGCAATATCTTTATCACGGTGCACCTCCCATACCAATTTAGCATACTGTGACAAGGTATCTCCATCTTTTGGATCTGCTAGTGTAGCTTGAAAGTAAGAGCGCTCAGCTCCAGAAAGATCTCCCTTTGACTATACACCAGAATGCAGTGAGTTACATACTCTAGAAAAAGGCGTCACCACATAAACAAAACCAAGACTAGGACTAGATCTCAAGAAAAGGACAAGAATAAAGATGGGGAAATTTCTAAAACCAAATAGCAACTAAAGCATGTAATGTTTTCTGTGCTTTTCCAGCCAAACCATAACAAAATCTGTTACTCCTATGATATGCAGAATGGAATAGGCGATATTTTGTATGCTTTTTACACTTCAAAACCACTAAATTTATCATGGAGATACATTGCCAAGACATCAAGAAAGCAGAACTTACTTTCCCTTTTCATGACTTGGTTATGCAACCGCTAATCCATACTTAGTAGAGGATTTAAGCTTCAAAACGAGTCAATTGGTTATAGAAGCTTCCAAATTAGATCCCAATTTGTTAGAAGTAACTCAAACTACTGTTACTATCCTAAGGTACTTGTCCAACAAGCCTACTTTATTAAGGGGCAACTTAACAGCAAGAACTAGAAGTCAATGATGAGATCAAATCGAGAGAGGTGACTTCTAGTTTACCAATTAGAATACCAACTTTGCAGTTTATAGAACCCTTAAAGTAACTTAGATGGTTTCTTTCCATCTTTCTAAGCCTTGGCGAACACAGTTATCCGGTACGTGTGCTGGTGGGAGGTACCAGGTACCCCTCAAATTAGTCGAGGTGCGCACAAATTGGCCAAACAACACGGTTATACAAAGTTACAAACTCTAAAGGAACTTACACATAGAATCAAACATTTCGACTAAATTTAAATAAAAGGGCAAAAAAAAAGATTTTCTGAAAAGAACAAGAAACAAACACTGACCTGCAAAAGTTGAGCATAATTCCTTAAAAACAAAGGGTTGGAAGGCTCTTCTTTAAGAACCCTTTTATAATATTCCTCAACATCTCCAATTCCATCAAAATCTGAAGGTGCAAAGTCAACCCCACCACTATTTACACTATTGCCATCAACCCCAAATCCAGTAGCAAGGTACTTTGAACTAATTACTGTTCCACTCTCTTCAATTCCAAGTTCATTAACCCCATCAAAAACCCTTTCTTTTTCATCTTCTTTTTCAACTTCTTCATTTTCACCTTCCTCAATCAAACCCATTCCCTTTTCCCCAAAGCTGAAATCACTACCACCTATATCTGATATATTATCCCCTATTGTCACAGACCTTATTATCTGCCCATCACTTCCCAACAAATCTTGATTTTCTTCAGAATTATATATACAAAATGATGGTTCTGTATGCAACATTTGAAATTTCTTGGTTATGGGAAGATGAAGAGGTTACCTTTGAGCTATAGACTTCAAGATTATAAGAAATTGAAGTATTTGAAGATGACCCTTTTAAATTTCCTGCAGATTGAGCTCTTTTGGGGGGATTTTGGACTGAATTCAGATGACCCCACAAAGGAAAAAATGTGCAGGTGAGGAGTTTCAACTTGCAAGAAAAGAACTCAAATTTTGGAGTGTAACACCATTAAAGGAGGAGACTTTAACAGTGGAGTGATAAAATATACTCCTAATATCTTATGAACAATTACCAGTGTATTATTATTATTTTTTTTTTGTGTACTTTCTGAAAAGGATGTTTACTGAAATAGCTTGTCAGACTCCGTATTTATTTTTCTTAATCGATAAATATAAATTATATCCCGATTATGATGATTATACATGAATTATACAAATTGAATGCTGTTAGGTTAATTTTTCTTCTGAAAAGGGGGTCTGAGAAATTTGTATTTGGTGAGCTTCTAAAGTAGCATTAGCATTTGTTGGGCTTCTTTTTTATTTTTTATTTTTTATTTTTAACCTAATGTTCAGTACAGTGTTGGGCCGTATTAATATGAATTCGTCACGAAAAATCTTATTTTAGAAATAAAGCTTCCTATCAATAATGACCACAGTACCACAGCTAGTTGTTGGATCTCTATAGATGGTTGGTTTGGTTTTCCGAAGCTTGATTGAAATAATTTTTGAGGAGATCCTATATTAAAAAAAGAATAGGAAGTTAAACTAATAAATAAAGATTTTTGTAATTAAAAGCGTTCACGTGTAGTTGTGTGGCTACCATACTGTACTTTGACTTTTTTTGTTTTAGTTTAAATAAGTGATTGAAGTGAAAATAAATAAAAGATAATACCATTTTGGATCTTCTATTAAGAAAGTGATACTTTATGGACCCAATCTGGACAAGTGGAGATATTTTGAGGTGGGATAGAGGTTGACTGATAATAAATGCAATAATTAAATAAGTTAGATATCCATTGATTCCTACTTTCGTGCTCTATTTAATAAAGTAATTTGCATCGTTGTCATGTATCAATAATCTAAGATCTTATGTAGAGTATATTTTTTAAAAGAAACTTGTGGATATAATTGTTTATTAATTTATATCTGATTTTTAGATAAGTGAATTAGTTTGATCCGAAAATAATATAATAAACGAGGAAATACACAATACTTAGCCTTAGAATGTAGATGAAATAGCAAAGATGGTGATTTCGTGAGTACGGTTTCCAAACACAACAATGATGAAAT